TACATTTCCAAGCAAAACAAGACAGTAGATGGCCACATAAATGAGGAGGTGTTCATGGAAAGGGTACGGCTAAGGGTCACATCAATCTAGGACAGAGTCCTGCTTCTGCCCATGATGAGGGTACTTGTGAGACCCTTCTCTGACCTTAGTTTCCTCACCAGTAAAATAAATGTAATAATTCCTGACTTTCACAGCTATTGTAAAAGTATCATATTGCAAAGTCATTTTTAGCAATAAAATATTATGTGATTTCTTCATACTATGAGGAAAATCAAGGCCTGGATCTACGCTCACTAGCATTTCCAGGCCACTAACTTCAGTAACCATTATTGCACATGTATGGCAAAAAAGAAGTCAAAGTTACTTACACCATACCATTTCTTAGGTCCTCAGAAACTAGTCCACTCCCTCCTCTTCTTTCCACCTTTCAGGGATTTCTATATTTGGTATTTAATGAAACAACTATTTTTAGGCATAATAGAAATAGGAGAAGTGCATCTACTATATTTTGTCCCAGAAACAGAGTGTATAATGCCTTACCATTTCTTCACTATGTCTCCAATATTTTTGAAAAATTAATTTTGTCACACTGATACCAGTATTCTTAAGATTTAAAACATACCTGAAAATAAAACCACAAAGGCAACTTTATAGCATCAAAATTTTTCATTTTTTCAATTCTTTTTTAAGAAAAGTTTGTGGATCAGACTTTATGCATGCTAGCTAAGTGCTCTACAAGTGTGCTATAACTTGAGCCCTTGAACAACAATCTAAAGCAAAGAAAAACATTATTATAAAATATGTATACACTTTCTGGACCAAACAGTATGGAACTTGTTTGTTATTTATTCAAAATAAGGGGGTTTAGAAAGTCATTTACACTTCAGATTAAGTCTAAAATGTCAAATAATTGAAAAATACAAGGTAGCAAAATGCCAACCAGGAGGTCTATCATCGATGTCTCCAACATTACCTTTAGTGGATAGATATTTTATTGAAATCATATCACCCACAGGAAAAAATAAAGCAAGGCCAACATGACAGTGTAAAGTGTGTTGTTCAAAGAATCACAACAATGTGAAAAGAATTTGGAAACAGACACTTCTATCCAGATTGCAATGATGCATTTTGTATTAAAGATTTTAAGATATGCCATTCACAGAAAAGTATTGAGTACATTTGATAAAATTGTCACTTTTATATTTCCCATTCTATTATTACCTTATAAAAATTAATGAAAAATATGCAATTTTTGGTCACCCTATATTTAAATAATTGGACCAGTAAGTGGTTAATTCAGATCTACCATAGGCCATACAACAACATGCTTCTCCCTGCTTCTTCAGGCCCATTCTCCCACCATCCCTGTGCACTGAATATTGGAAAAAAAGTATTAATTATGTAAATATTCCTAACCTCTATTGCTGTATAGGTGCAGATACAAGTCTCAGTTGTCTTGTAATACCAGCTCCAACCAGTGCCCAGCCCGTAATAAAACAGCCACAGGCACAGTGTTAGTCACTCTCAGTCACTGAAACAAAATATCTAAAGGAGGAGCGGCTTATTTAAATAGTTTATGGTTTCGGAGGATTCAATCCATGGTTAGTTGTTGCAAAGGCCAAAACGGCAAAGCAGAAGTGCATGACAGAGGAAAGCTGCTCCTACAAATGCAGCCAGGACAGAGAGAGAGAAGGGAGGAGCCACTGACAAGAATATATCTTTCCAGGTCACACCCCAATGACCTGCCTCCTTCAACCAGGTCTCACCTCCTAACATTACATTCAGCTATGAACTCATCACTGATTTAAACCAGTGATGAGTTTAGTGCCCAAATGATCCAATCATCTCATAAAATTCCTACTTCTAATCACATGGTACTTTAATAAAACACACTGTTAATATGAATGACATGGTTTCAGAAAGATCATGATATAGAATCCTAACCACAGTCCTTAATAAGTCTAATGTGTAAACAGAATTAGAATGAACTAAAAATAGAAAACTTCTGAATTTTCCACCTTTCACATTTGCTACTAGGTATTTTGACTTTTATCTTCTTAATATAGAATATCCTTGAATGTCTACAAGGACCTTCTTGTGATGATTTTTTTTATTTGCTTTCAAAAGCTAACTGATTTTCAGGAGAACTAAAACCTAAAGGCCTGGCATCAGTTACAGACCCAAGAGGAGACATAAGAAGGAATGATTTACCTTGAAAAGGTGAAGAAATATAGTTTTCCTAATTCACTATACATAAAATTCAAGTAATTTAGGAATTTTTGTGGAGGGAATATTTGGCATTGAACACAGGGTCTTCATACTAAGCTACATCTCCAGGACTTTTCAAATAATTCTTGATGCAATATCTTGCTAATTTGCCTATGCTGTGGTTGAATTGGTCTTCTTCCCTCAGCCTAATTTTGGAGTTTTAATGTTTATCTTTGGGTAAGAGTTTTTCTATAACTTACTTGGTATATCAAAGGAGTTATTGCTCTGAACAAGAAAAGTATCAATAACATCTTATTTTGTTATAGATGCTGCCTTGATACTGGGAAAGCTGGAATTAGGATGACTCTGGAAAAGATATTCCAACATTGGGATCTGGAAGGTATTTGTCTTGAGTTAGGCCACTATCTGAAATCCCAAATTATGACAGTGTTGGGAGCCAGTAAAATTTAATGTTCTGATAGTCAAATGGCCATGGCCACTTCTTTGTCTAGCCGAGAAACATTTGGGCTATGTGCTACTAACCTGTAGGTTCTGGAAAGTCCTTGGTAAAGAATAACAAAGGGGCAGAAAAAGTTCTCAGAGTAAAATGGTGGCAAGAAGAACAGTTACTACCTATAGAGGGTAATTAAACTTCTAAAATTAAAATTCCCTTGTTAGACATTTTTATCTTATATTCCAATATTTACCACAAGCCATAGTATATTAAGATGCTCAATAAATGTCTGTGAAGTAAAGAAATATCTACACATACAGTTTGAGAGGAAGCAACTATGAAGCAATGTATAGTTTTGTATCCAAAATCTAGGGATTGTAAAGTAACAGATAGGAAACATTAGATAAAAACATCTTGATCTGTTAGGGTACCTTATGCTTAACTGACTTGACACACTACAAGAAGCTCAGTTCTAAACCATTAGGCTATTTCAGAGTATTAGAGAAGCTCAGTCACTGCATAATGGTTGCTGAGAGTCTGGCAACACTGGATATGAGCACTAAGTTAATGCTAAGATACTGTGTTACAAATACAAGGTCTCTATAATATTTCAACATCTTGTCAGGTACCTTGACAAAGAGGACATAACTGATAGTCTGTGAAGAAACAAAAAGAACAAAATTAAATAGTTAAGGCCTGAATATTTTCAAAACAAGAGAGACAGAGACAGAGAGAAGCAGAAAAAAAGAGAGGCAGCTAAAGAGACAAAGAGTGGGAGAACTAACACTTCAGAAAAGGGGATTGTAATTATTATTGATGTATAAGATTTTAACACCTAACTTGAAAAATTGTGAAATGCTATTCTAAAGGGTCTCATGAACAGATCAAGATCAATGTCCTTTTACTGGTTTGAAATACTTATCTGTAATATGCTTATTCATAGATGAAAAAATATAAAAGAACAGAGAGATGGGTTCTATTATTATCTACTTGCAGTGGGTTCAGAGACTCAAAGCAAAGGACTATCATTTGCTATTGCTTGTCAGAAAGAAATCGAGAGAAGTTGAAGCAATTTAGTTCATCTGACGCAGCAAAGCAAAAAAACATGCCTGGGAGATATCTTTACCTTTTAATAAACAGTTTGCATTACCATCATCAAGTGCCTACACTTTTATAAACCTTAGCTTCTCAGTCTAACATTTGTAGAAAATTGCCAAGAATCATTTATACACAAAAGCAGAATTCAATATTTATGAATTGCTAGTTTTCTATAAAAATAGACATTTGGTGACTATCTTCTCACTAGTCATTAAAATTTGATCAGGGATCAAAGCTAGAATAATATTAACAATTCTTTGCCTTCATATAGTGTTTTAAATAATATTATTAATAATAGATGACATTTATTGAGCACTTAGCAAGTACCAGGCACTTTATGTATAAATTTTCATAAAGAATTCAGTTCAGCCCAATAAGAATTCACGTACCACCTACTGTGTGATAGATGAATGATACTTGGTTTCTATCTTTAAGGTCTCATTTTTTGTTGTACTCAGTAAGTGTTGGATGAAAACATGAATGAATGGATGGATGAATTGGTTGCAAAAGCAGCATGAGGTAATGCAAAAAACCACAGGCTCCTCCCCATGCCCTTGTCTGTGTTCTTCAGAAGTACTCTACCTAGCCTCAATTTTTTCACTTGTAATACCATATAATGATATTTAAAATCTCCCTTGCAAAAGTATATAAATAGTAAGAGCAAAAGTAAAGCATCAGACACACAAGGAGGTCTCAGTGAGTGGAGAACTGATTACTGTTACTATCACCATCACATTGTCATACTTATTAAGCAACCCCACCCAATCCCACCTCCTCACAATGGTGATGGGAAAAAAGAACTTTAAGTGAATATAAATACAATATCTATCTAAAAACACCACTAAAACTAAGCAAAGTAAGAGAAATCTACTAAACTATACTTTGCAATGTCCTCCTAGGCTACTATATATCATCTATGAATAGGTTAGAAGAAAAGAAAAAGAATTAACTTCAATTATTCTTACAATATATGATAATAGAAGACAACAGGAAAGAATTTACCAAATATCAGGCTCTAACTTCCCACATAATAGAATGTTGATTATTCCAAGTATTAGACCATAGTATCAGCTTTCTCAAAGAACAGTATCTAGCACCTAGGCAATGGCCATCCACAAATACATTTTACTTGTATTTGTTTGTTGACAGTAAGGCTGAGCCCCATTCATGTAAAAGATAAATTTGAACCCTGAGACAAATTTTTTAACCAAAAAGAGATCCCAATCTGTGGGTCACTTGCCATTTTGGTCTGCTAGTAGATTTCACCATAGGAGCCATCCCATCTCTGTAAAGACTCTTGGTTTTACTGAAGTTAACAATGTTGAAAATGACTCTCTGTAAAAGAAAGAGACACAAGTTCATCAGAACACTAAGTTATGTAAGTTGCCACTTTCTTATAATGTAGACTCATTACCAAAAGTATAGTAAGGATAAACAATGTTCATAGGATTAGTAAGTGTTTTTGTGAGCTAATCACAGGAGTCTAGAGATCAGATTCTTGTAGTACTAATAGGATAACTGTCTTCAAATCAATTAGCTTTGGAATCCTGGAACATAGAACCTAAAATGTGAGTATTAATTCCAACTCTATCACTCTATAGTGTATTGTGACTTTGTCAAGCTACTAGACATCTCTGTCTTGGTGTCCTGATTTGATAAATGAGAATAATAACAGTACCTAACTCATGCGGTTCTGAAGGAAATTAAAGAAGTTCATGTGCGTACAGTGTTTGGAATCTCATTTGGTCATGGAGTCTGCTCTGTAAGTTTTAGCTGTTCTTTGTGCCCTCTCTTTGGACTGACTTCAAATTTGCATGGAAATGAATAACGTTATCATTAGGGTACCAATACTACTTTTGTTTAGTAAAATTAAAGATAATAACAATACACAATTATAATTCCAAAATTCTTTAGTTACTTGGAATTCCTTTGACTAAATCTGGAGATGTGTGTTCTCTACTGCAACCCCTTTGTAATCTTCTACTATGGGTCAGGAAGACTGGACTTAATCAAATTTCAACATGAATTTATAGATCCATAATGGTTGAGTAAATTTCTTCCCCTTTCTGGATCTTACCCTTAAAATGTGGCGTAAGATGTTCTAGATGATTGAAGCCTTTCCAAGAGAATACTATATAAAAAACGATCAGACCCTTTTAGTAAAATTGTCATGAAAGGACGAGAAATTGTGAAAGAAAAGAAAACTGAGACTGAAAGATGCAGAAGGTAACTGAAATACTCCAAAGGGAAAATGAGACTAAACTGAGTTCGCCAAAATAGTTAAATAAAGGGAACAATTTTAAGAGAGTACTGTGAATGTGTCTTTCGAACCAGATGCAGTGAAGATACAGAAACATCAAAAGTCATTTATTATTTCATTCAACAATATTTTATTGTCAAGTGTGAGAAATTTTATACATTTTAAAAATAATCTTAAAAATTCTCCTATAAATAGAAAAATAGTATATTAACAACTCCAGTTTGCACATGTGGAAACTGAGTCTCAAAAAGGTTACCTAAATGGCTCAATGTTGTGAATTGATAAATGACAGATTTGATATTTCCATCAAAGGGATAAAAAGATGAGATATGCACAATTTTTATCCTTGAGTTGTACCAAGGTTTCAAAATTCTATAATTTTAACCACATCTATTTTGCTCCTAAGTAAGGGCATAAAATAAATATAATAGCAAATGTTTACCCTTTGTATTTTTGTCTTCTTAAAAAGAGAAAAATCAAAGCCATTTTATCTTGCTTTCTATTTGGAATGATAAAAAAATTCTTTGTTCATGAAATAAACTCTTAGGAATAACTCGTATGTTCTTTTCTCCACAGAGATGTAGCCATTGACCCAACTCCAGGCATTTCAGTTTCAGACCTCCTTTGTGTCATTAAATTAAATCATCAAGAATGTCCTAGGCTGTTCCATTATTAATAACCTAGGCCTGCCAGTTGTCAGTTCAATTATTTCTCCCAAGGTCTTGGCTACTGTCTGATTTTAAAAAATCAATATCAAGGGGACAAATGGCCTTTGAACCTAACAAGGCATAATCCTCTCTCTCCTTCTGAGATTCTAGGTGTCAGATCCATTTACTGTAAACCTGGAGGCCATACTGTACTTTATGGATGTAAATTATTGATAAATACAGGAAGGAAGCTGATAAAGAAATGAATTACATATGTGAAGCTGAAGTAAAGAAATGGGATATAAAGTAAAAACTTTATTGATTATTAATATCCTACTGTGTGCCTAGAAAATTTCTCAGGTATTTTAAGTGGCTGTATAATTTAAGTGCTTCATTCATAAAGTTATTTATTATATAAAAAATTTAGACAATGAGGAAATTGAAGCTAATAAAGGCTAACTGGATTGCTTTACCAAAATCCCCAAACTGTTAACCAGTACTTAAATCATAGATGTTCTTATCACAAAGATCATACTTTCTTTATGACATTATGGTACATGCACAAAGTATGTACTATCTCTTAATAGTCTCCTTTGATGCTCTTTTGTGTTCTAGCCATTTAACAAGGCAGAATGGGTGGGGAGAATCAAAAGTATTTGGAAGTAGACAGTATAACAAATCCCATCTTGTCACATTTTACACTTAATAATCAATTATTTACACAAAATGCACCACAAGAAACTGCATATTCAGGTAATGGCATTAAAAACAAATACAGTAACAACGAATAATTTCTGAGCACTTACTAGGTACCAAAATTCTGAGTTAAGTACTTCTTTCATTGCAGAATTTTGTTTATTACAAAAACATGATTGGAGATTAGAATCACCCGGACAGCTTTTCAAACCTGCAGATGCTTGGACCTCTACTCTAGAGATTCTGATATGTGACAGTTTAGCTAATTTTCAGGATGTATACACACACAACTTTTTGAGGTACAAACTCCTCTTCTTATTTCCAGCTGAAATAAGAGATATTGAAATTAAGTAAACTAAAATCATACACAAATAAATAGCAGAAGTAGGGGCTGGGGATTTAGCTCAGCGGCAAAAGCGCCTGCCTGGCAAGCGCAAGGTCGTGAGTTCGGTTCCCGGTACCGGAGAAAAACCAAAAAAAAAATAAATAAATAAATAAAAAAAATAAATAGCAGAAGTAAAATTTGAAACAAATGGCTCACTGAAGAAAATAAGAGCATAGAATTTCTAACCAGATACACCTGGGGGAGAAACCAAGTTCCAACAATTGAGATAAGGGAAAAGAGAAAAGAAAGGGAAAAGAAAAGAAAGAAAGGAAAAAAATATGTATATGTATATATATATATATATATATATATATACACACACACATATATAAATAGAACAGCTAACATAGTTGTACTACTGATTTTTATTGCTATATTGAAAGGAACAGTTAATGTTTAATTGTTTGATCAATCTTACATGTCTATATTTGTTTATCTGAGCAACCATTTTGAAGATATCAATATGTAATACAACAACCATTGTTAATTTCCTATCACCTTGTCTGAAATTCTGTATTGCTTGTATTGTTTTGTGTTATTTTGTAAAATTATGTGTGTTTGTTAATATGTTTTCATTCTTTTATCTTTAAAATAAAAAAAAAAGAAATCAAGTACCCACAAGCTCTATAAACTTGTGCAAAGCATTTTCTTTTTTGGACACTTGTTGTTTACATCCAAAACAGGGATGGCAACAGTATCCTAACAAAATTGTTATGAGAATCTGTCAGATTATATAAGTATATCACCTGGAAAATTGCACCTAGCTCAGAATAGGTACTCGGTATATATTGAGCCTATTCTCATCTTCAATAAAACTAGATATAAATTTAAATATTAAGCCCAGAATTCTTGCTTCAGCATTATGGTACCCTAGATCAAAGCTTTGTGAACAGTGACTGGTGACACACTGATAGGCCAAGAGTGTGTTATACCCCCAGCACAGTCCTGTGCAAAGGCTGAAACATTGCCTGTTCTGACCAAGAAGCTGACAATGTTTCTCAGGACTGTAAGTTCCATTCCACGTGTTGGCCAAGGAATGGTGGAACGTATATAAGGCTATAGCGAGGAGTCTGTATGTAGGGCCAGGCATTGGCCTGACTCTCTCTTACCATATATCTATTACTTTTGCTCAATGATGAGTATATTGCCCATTTGATCTTGTTAAGGTAATCATACAGACTGTTTTAATATGCATGGACATTTTGCACACTAGAACTTCATTGTTATTTTAATATATTCTATTGTTTTAAAATATTTTCCTAAACATTTGATTAAATTTGAAAGTCATTTAGGTTTCACAAGAAATTTCAATATTGTAATTGCAGCTGAAAGGAAAGATAGCTGTTAGATGTTTTAAATATAATTTTGTATTGCTCAAATATTTCAGAGTTTTGAATTTTATCACTTTCTTGTATGAACATTTCTCACTGATGGTGACAATAATGGCTTTGAAGTGATTATCACTGAAAGTCTTGATCAGGAACTGCATGTATCCATTTCAAATAAAATCTCATATAAAAATGATCACAGAAATAAACTCCAGGGCCTCATAATTTGAAAGATTAAAAAAATTAAAAATAAATCTAGCACTTGATATCCTTTGGACTCACTTCATGATTTTTAAAGAATTATGGGTTATTGTTTTTCACTGAACCTTATATGCTCATCTTCCAAATATCCTCCTATTTACCTCAACATTCTATGTAACTATGATTATCTTTATGTGCAAAACTATCCCCTTATTTGTGTGCTTAGGTGTAGGGAATATCATACAGATGCTATACACACAATATGGTATTAATGAATTTTGATCTAGAAAGAAGTCACTCACTAATAGTAGGAGATAACTAAGAAACATACATATCAATTCTTGGATTTAAGATGCAAGAATAATTTTTTCAACATGCAGCAGACTATTTTTGGGTTTGCACTTGAATTTACAATACTATCTTGGTATAAGAACCCAAGCCAGATAATTAAAATAAATTTAGCAAGAGAGAATACTGCTTTGAATGTGCACATCTTTAGCTCAGGTACACAGATTTTCATAAATAAAATCACTAGACATTAAACTTTCACACAAATTTACAAAACAGTTGATGAAATAATCTACAACAAGAGTGAAAATCAATCAGAAAAAATCAATCAAAATCAAAACAGTAAAAGCTGAGTTATTCCATAAAGAACTTCAGGTCATAAAACTATCTGGTAAATTATGTTTTTAAATGGCTAATAGTTTATAAGACTTTTACAAGCAGAACACAACAAACCACTATCCTAAAAAAGAAAATTAGAATTTAAAAAATTGAGTAAGGTTAAAATCAGAATAGATGCTACTAAAAGGAGA